CACTGCGAATTTTTTCTAAGCTCTATACTAAACATTAAATCTGTTACGAAAAAAGAACTAAACAAAATGAACACAAAACGATCAGCTTTAAAAAAGGACTCGTAACTGGAAAAGCCGAATGAAAAAAGAATGTTAACAACAAATACTTTTTCACACCCAACCCAGTTCTACGGAATCAGAATCAACGTTGAGTTTAAGCAAGCGAATGAGCCAATTGGAGTAAAGTGCCATGCAGATTTAAATTTTTCCCACTTGTGACGAATGCAGTTATCGATTTTTTTTTTTTTTGCATGCTAACATGCTAGTTAACATTCGTGTCAGTCAGCTGTTGGCTCTCACGCTGGCCAACAGAATCTTCCTGCATATTCGTGGCAGCCAGCTATTGGCTCTCACTCTGGCCAGTAGAAAATGGCCGCAAACTACATGAAAACTGGCGTAGAAGCATGAAAAAATCGATTATTTCCACTATCGATGGGAATTGGGAAATGCAAGGGCGGTCTTGGCCTTTCCACTAACTTGGAGCATGTGCATGTAAATTTTGGTGCAAATCCGTCGAAAATTGCGGCCGTACATTCGTCGCACACACACACACACACACACACACACACACACACACATCCTGCCTTTTATAGATAGAGATGAGATGTATTTTATGAACAATGAAAAATAACAAAAATTTAAAAATGGATGCAATAGGATCACCTCCGCTGAATGAAACATCATTTTCTACCGAATGTTGTCCTCTTCATTGAATAAATGCCCGTGTCTTTGAGACAGAAGATGTCACAGGAATACAAGCACTCTTTAAAGAAAACATTCCATCAACGTATGATCGACTGTCAACAGTGATATATAACATCTGTAGACTAATAACAAAGCAAGCAGTTGAACGAATATTTATTTTCCCGCCCTATTAACAGGGAAGACTAAGTGGTCATAGAATCATTTCTCTAACATTTCTGTACAAACAGAATTTTTTAAAGTTACTTTTGTTATCAAGTCCATTTGAATTTCCTACTCTAGACATAGTTATATAGAGCTGATCATGATAGAAACTTCTAAATTTTTTTCTATTGTTTGTATTAATAATAATAGTAAAATAATAATAATAATTTAGCAAACTTACTATATTTCTCGTTTTTTGAAAAATAATTTGTTGGTTTGTTTTTAAGCAAACAGATTATTTTGACTTATTTAAATAATTCTGTAAAACTTATTTCGGCTTCGCGAGAAAAAATTGTATTAATATGGAAATGTGAACGACGACATCGGCTAATACGAACGCTGGGATTCGTAAATAGCGTTGACAGGCCTAAAATTTTTAAGAATTCTATAAAAATTTTAAATTTGTAAAAAAAATTTTATGTTCGTCTATAAAAGATTTTTTTTTTTTAAATTATTTTTAAAAGTCAAGATTATATTCATATATTTTCATGAATGTAAAGATCGATATTTTTTCTAACTTAAGAGTGAATTTTGACGAAGTTGCTGTTACGCGAAACCTGGTCTCCTGTATGACAACGATGACTGGACAATCTCCTCAAAAATGAAGAAGAGACTTGAAGCAACATAAAGATACTGAAGATACCATGGACCGAACATGTGAGCAACGACGAGGTTTTGGAGAAAATGGAAACAAAAAGAAAACTCATACTTGATATCAACAAGAGACAGTCGAAATTTCTGGAGCACGTAATGAGGATGCGGAACTTGGAAAACCTGATAGTCACAGAACAGATTGAGAAAAGGAGGGACAGACAAAAGCAGCGCGAAACATGATGAGTCTGAGTAAATGGATTGAAGAACAAATAACAAAAAGAGCCATAGTACATAAAAGAAGAAAATAAAAATGTGACGCATTTTTAAAAACAAGACATTAAAAACAGGGGATGTGTTGATATATGGCAATTTAAAAATTTGACAGTAAACAAGGATAAAATATTTATTAAATTATGCTTTTAAAAATTTTTATACAAGTTAAATATTACTGCGAATGTTGTAAAGGCGCCATGTTAATTATCTATATAGTTATTACTCCATTATCCGAACATCGATTTTCCAGATTTTGATTATCCGGAAAATTTAAAATCACTCCAACGTTTTTTGATTATCCGGAAAATTGAAATCACCAGGACACTTTTGATTATCAGGAAAATTGAAATCATCCGAACAATTTTTGATCTTCCGGAAAACTGAAATAACACGAACATTTTTTTTTTTTTTTTTTTTTTTTTTTTTTGGTTATCCGGAAAATTGAAATCACCCGAACAATTTTTGATTATCGAGAAAGCTAAAATAACCCGAACATTTTCTAATTAGCAGGACAATTGAAATCACCTGAACATTTTTGATTATGAAGAAAATTCATATCATTTGAACATGTTTTAATTCCCAATAAATTGAAATCACTCGAATTTTTTTTTAATTTTCAGGAAAATTGAAATCACCCGAAGATTCTTTGGTTATCCGGAAAATTGAAATCAGCTGAACAATTTTTGATTATCAAGAAAATTGAAATCACCAGGATATTTTTGATTATCCGAAAAATTGAAATCACCCGAACAATTTTTAATTATCCGGAAAATTGAAATCACCCGAAATTTTTTGATTATCAGGAAAATTAAAATCACCCAAACATTTTTTGATTTTCCGGAAAATTGAAATCAGCGACGAAGTACTGTCGATTGTTAACGATGCAGCCTGCTTTGTTCTACTGATGTCAGATGGGAACAAAGACCAAATTTGGCCTTACTCAAATTTATAAAAGACGATCTTCAATTTTAATTCTGTCATTTTTTTTTTCAAAACGTGTTTATTAATTTCATAGATCCAACATTATGTGAGGAAAATTTCAGATCAAATCCCGCTAAAACTCTACCAGACAATAAACTTATTGATCTACCTTTACATATAGGTCAAACCTGGAATTATAGTGACAAACATGATGAGAGCTATAGTGTGCTCGAACCTTACTAGATGTTACTTGTTACCTTGAGCCAGCCAAAACTATTGAGGGGTATTGTTTTAGCAACGTTAGCTATAGACAAAACATAGGCTATTCATCGTAGACTGCTTGTTTCCAATCTGTTATTACAGACAAGTACTATTCTAGTGGGCTTACGGACATATAGCCTTGAAACACCGCTTCCCGTACGATCACCAAAGTTAAGCAACGTCGAGCTTGAGTGACTAATTGGGAATATCATTTGATGTAAGCTTGGATGTACGTGTGCTATGATGGATAATGGCTCAGAATTGTTTATCGGAGAGCCGAGTTCTAGTATCAGCCCATTATATTCAATTGTGCGCAAATACCCTTGTGAAAAGTATGAATCCGCTTCTTCTCCCACCATCTATGGGTTAATTATTAAGACTTGTATCACTAAATCATTATTATCTCCAACAAAAAAAATTCTTACAATCAAAAAAATATTTTCTAACTTTAAATTACCGGCAAAATATTAAGCCTTAGAAAACAAATTACTCAACCAAACTAATCTAGGGATTTCAAGCATCACAGTATGACTATCGCTCATGCTCGTAGCCTTGTGCCAGACTAAGCTAAGTAAATATTAATATACATAAAATACATAAACGGTTCCGTACTGGATATGACGATAAACTACATCCGGTAGCCAATTTTTTGACGTGAAAATGTTTTCGACAAAGTCTTGAATTTAGCTTTCACAAAAGAAACTTCATCGAAGCATTTTGCAGCGATCAAAAACATTAATAAACGGCTGGTGCAAGGTCAGGAGCAGAACGATCCTAATTCCTACTTTTTTCTATATTATTTTTTTCTATATTATTCTTATATTCTTTTTCTATATTTTATTTTTTTATTTTATATTTATTATTATTTTTATATTTTATATTCTTTTTTATTTATTTTTATATTCTTATATTCTTTATATTTTATATTCTTTTATATTTATATTTTATATTTTATATTCTTATATTCTTTATATTTTATATTCTTTTATATTTATATTTTATATTCTTATATTCTTTATATTTTTCTATATTATTCTTTTTCTATATTATTCTTTTGTCTGGCCTTTCGTTGTTATGCAGAATAACGAGTTTTCTTTAATCCGCTGTGTACGCTGCTACTGCCATTCAAAAAGTAATATAGGTTAGTGTAGTCCAAATTTATTCGTAACTGTCACCAATTATTAGTAGTAACGATGATACACTCGTCATTACAACTGGTTCTTTCTTCTTTTTATGTGCCATGTCCTTTCAGGACGGAGGCGATCATGGCTCTCCACCTCCCTCTATCCCTTGCAGCTCTCAACAAGTTCTTTCCCTCTGCTTCCTCCCCCAGACCACGTTCTGTCATCCACCCGGTTAAGCTCGCCAGGTATATCACGCGCTACTTTCTCTTGTCTCTTTTTCCCTCTATTCGCCCCGTGAGTATCAGATTTTCCAGACCATCCCTCCTCATTATGTGTCCCAGAAACTTCAGCTGCCTCTGTTAAGTATAAGCTTCCTCCTTGTTTGCATCCCCTCCAAAACCCCATCGTTGCTCACACGCTCCGTCCATGATATCCTTACCATTTTTCTGTAGAACCACATCTCCGTTGAGTCTTTATCTCTGAGGAAATCGTCCAACATTCGCTGCCATAAAGATGGACAGATGTCACATAACAGGTCAGTATTCTTTTTTTTTTTTGTTACCAAAGAAATCCTCCTGTCTCGCAATACTCTGCCCAGCTTTTGGAAGGTGTCCTTGGCCATCCCAATACGTCTACAGATCTCAGTGTCGCATTCAACGTCGTCTGTCAAGACGCTTTCCATCGGCGGTACCAATCGGCGTTTCCAATGTAGTTGAAAAAAAAAATTGAATTTGATTTTGAATGTCTTATTTATGAAGGCGCTTTCCATTTTGATCAGTGATGCAAAATATATTATGTCCTCATTAATTTCCCTTGTACCAGAATATGTTAAGCTTAGGGTATATCTGTACAAATCTGTATTCTAAGTGACATACGACAAAAATGCATTCACGGCATTACAGAATTTGTCCATCTTTCTCCTCCTACCCCCTTTTCTCTCTTCCTCTCTCTCTCTCTCTCTCTCTCTCTCTCTCTCTCTCTCTCTCTCTCTCTCTCAAGAAAAGAGCGGATGTGTTTTTAATTGTAATATAAGCATCTGACAAAAGCAACTTACTTAACGTAAAAGGAAATGTCGCAACTCATCAACTAAATGACTTGAATATATCAGTTAAATGAAATTGATTGCGTCAATCTTCAAATAAAGATTTGTCTTAACACCGTTTTCTTTCGTTTATTCTTTCGTTTGAAATAATCTAGTTCCTTGTTCTTCAAGGCTGTATGGCCGCACTGTAAAATTCGGTTTTCTGTCTGTCAACAAGCTTGTGTTTGACATGAAGTTTGCACAACCTATTTAAAGAAAATAACAATTAAAATAAAATAAAAACGTGCGATAAAATAATTGTCGTATCTTTCAAATTTATCACTCTTTTATTTATTTATTTATTTATTTTTTATTTTATTTTATTTTTTGCATTCTTTTAATAGAAAATCGTGTATTATCTTGACAGAAATGATTATTTCCTTAAGCCTCTTTTCCTTTCAGTTAACATTGTGCTAAGACTCTCTAATCTAGCTCTTCTCAAGATTTGTGGGAATGTTTTAAGGACGATCTAATTATAGAGTCATTGGTCGATGTTCAAAGTGAATGTAACAACGAAGATTTCAAATGCTGATTTTCGAGGCTGTTAAACCCAGAACACCGAGCTACCTTTGGACAAAAGAAAAACCTGATAAGCAGGAATTTGTGACACACACAGTTAAGTACAAGGTGTTGCTGAAAGGTTCTCGGTTCAATCTATTTAGCAAATGATGAAACATGAATTAGTTTAATTCCTTCTTGGTCAAAGAACTCTTCGACAATTCTTCGTATTTCCCATCAAGCCATGAGAATATTATAGTTAGGGGAAGTCGATCCGTTTTGAAGATTGGCGCAACACAGTCTATTCGAATTACTGTATTCCTCTTGGTTGTTATAAGCACAATAGTTCTTGCGATTCTTACGCTATTTCAAAAGTACAATGGTGGGACCTAGTTGCCAATCTAGTGGCACGCTTAAATTTATGTATTCGGGAAAGCAGAGAAAATGCTCATCAAAGCTATTGTCAGGAAAATATTTATAGAAAAGACAAAAGACATGTCATGTCGGTGAGAAAGTGACTAAAGTCGAAATTGCTGGTCTGGATCGATTATATTATAGATCCTTGTTTGGATCTTTAAATTATTATTGTAATTTATTATTAATAATATTAATATAATTATTTTTGAAAGAAGTGTTTCTGACCACCACTAATAAGATTATTCTTGCTGTATTTCAAAGATACTATGGTGGGACCTAGTTGCCAATCTAGCAGCACGCTTAAAAACATGTATTCGTGCGAGCAGAGAAAAATTCGCGTTAGAGCTGTTGTCCTCAAAATATTTTTGGAAAAGACAGAGTAAAGCCATGTCCCATCAGTGAGAAAGTGACTGAAAGCCGTTATATTTTTTAGCTTTCTTCTGTACTATTCGGTAAACTTCTTCGAATTTCGACTTGAACGCATAAGGGCAGATTTGCCATTATTTCACTATCCTCGTCAGAAGATATCTTGTATCAACACGTTTACTGCTACAAGACGTTGAATGTGCATATTGTTGCATCTTGGGTATTACCACTAACTTAATTTGTAATGTTTGGGGATTTAAAAAAAAACTCAAAAAAAACGTGTCAATGAATTTCACCAAATACGTCAGAAGAAAGCCGAAGAGTATAACGACTGAATCGCTGTGCCTATAACACACATGCACACACACACACACATATATATATATATATATATATATATATATATATATATATGCAATTACCACTGAGTCGTGAGTTCGATTCTCACTGGGTGCCCCTCTACTTTCGGCCTTGTGCCACATCTAAGCTACGCTTGGAAAATCACTATATATATATATATATATATATATATATATATATATATATATATATATATTTGCGGCAATCTTCGAAACGGATCGACCTCTCTAGTTATACTATTCTTTTGGCTTTGGTGGGAAATACGAACGGTTAAAGAAAAGTTCTCAGTCTGACCAAGAAAGGATTATGGAGAAAAAAATGTTGTGTATAAAGTTTACGAGCGTTTTTTTTTTGTTTGTTTGTTTGTTTTTTTACAAGGGACTAGATACACAGTTTTAAAAAATCTCCGACAATCTTTTTAGACCCCCACCACCATTAACCTAATAAATTTAAGCTTATTTACCAAAATACTGGATAAGTAATCTCATATAGCCATTTCTATGACTATAACATTATCATTGTCACCAGCTGCAAACCATTGCGATGGTATTAGCCATTCTCAATATCTTCCCGCGACTATAATATTTATGTTACTTACTTGCTACCAAAACCTTCCATTTTATCTTTCAATCTTCTCTTTGGTTTTTCCCTAGTGTGTTTACTGCCTATTTGAATACCTTCCAAACATTTAATAAAATCAATCATATATGGCTTTGAGTACGTCTTCAAATATCCAAAGTAACCATGAATGTTCTAACTCTTCCTACTTGATTTATAATAAGGCTTTTGCTTCTTGCCCCATCCCAAATCAAAGCATGTCTTTCACTACCTGACCCAGGGACTGAATTCCCAATGAGGAAATTCAATGTACATAAATGCTTTTTATCTACAAAGTCATTGTCTCAGAGAACAATCAAGTAACGAAGATAAGACCTGATTCGTCTTCTTTCCTAAAATCAAAAGCTTGCATATAGCGTATATTTCTATGCTTGGTGAATGCTATGCTCTAGTAACCTTCTCAGCAGGCCAAGCGTAGAAATGAGCACCATATGGAAACTTTTGATTTTAGGAAAAAAAGATACATTAAGTTAACGAACGAAAAATGTTTTTTGCGTGAGAATAGTTTTGTGGATAAAGACGTTAGTTCAGCGTATCTATTTACATGGTAATACTAAGTTCAATCTGAATTTTTGCATATATTCTGCTTCAGGGGAAAATGCTAAATTGGTGTCAAATGGAATTTTTATTTGTACCACTTACTATATCGGCTACTGCATTGTCCACATTAGACGATAAGAGTATTGCCGATAGACACGTGACAAGGAAGACAGACATATCAAATCTCTCCACAATTACAAAACTAGGATATGTATATAAATAGATTTTTTTAATCATTTCACCACAAGCAAGGCGGCGGTGGCATTAGAACGCAGAATGGGGGAAGTGGCAAGGAGGGAAAGTGAAAGAGAATGAGAAGACTCGGCCACGCATCCTTAACCAAGGTATCATTACATTCTTATTTTAAATATACTATGTGAATTTCGGTATCTATGTGGTTAAAATCACTTGCAAAAATCACTGTTTTAATAACAAAATACTCCTCAGAATACTGTCATCCACATAAAAATCTCGATCTGCCAAGGCTATTTAGAAACAGACTCGTGTTTTTACGGTGTTTGGCAAAGTCTATTCTATGCTCAATTTTCATATCTCCTATACTAAATTTGTTATAGCTGATTTCTACACCGACGTTTTTATCAACGACCTTCCTGTCACCAGTTCTCCTGTCGTAAAATGTCACCAGTTCTCATCTGGGTATCTATGCTGGTGACACAACTGTTTATCCCTGTCTTGATAGTAAATCCGATCGGTTCGATAAGGTCAAATTGTCAGCTGCATTAAAAAACAACCTACAATCTGTTGTTAACTGGGGCAAGGAATAGCTTGTTAAATTTAAAACCTCCAAAACGAAACTGCTCTCTTTTAATCTTCTGAGAGAACCCTTTCTGTCGTCCATCAGCATGGCTGATGCTAACCTCCAGGAGAGTGGCTCATTGCGCCTTCTTGGAGAAACGTTTTCCGCTGACATAAAGAGGAAAGATTATATTGAATCAATTGCTAGGTCTGCTGACAGGAATGTTGGGTCACTGCGTCGTCCTAGACAATTTTTTTCTTGACAGAATATATCTTACATATGTATAAGTCTACCATTCAAGCATATTTTGAACATTATTGTCATATCTATATATTTAAAGATTTTTGATAAAATTCTAAGAAGAATATGCAATGTCATTAGTCCTGGCATTAGGCATCTCGGCCTCAGTCACTTTCCCACAGTCGTAAATTAGCTTCCCTGTGCATTTTCTATAAATACTTTCACAATAATTGTTCTGGTGGACTTTTCTCTATGGTGCTTAGGCCTTATGAATTTAAGTAGAGTACTAGATTGGCAGCTATGTCTCATCGTTTTCATAGTTGAAATGATTAAATCTAACCTTAAGTTCTATGCTAACAGTTTCTTCTCTCGCACTTCTCGTTTGTGGGACTCCCTTCCAGTTTCTTGTTTGCCAGTCAACTTTAATCTTCCAAAATTTAAATGCAATGTCAATCGTTATCTTATGTCTTTATAATTCATGCATTTTTGTTGTTCTCTCTCCTTAATAGTAGTTTTTCTCATCTTCTCTCACACTCAATAACTCCTTGTGTCTTAGTGGCTTTATTGCCTTGCTTGGGGAGAAATGATGAACAAAAAAGAAGGTATCTGATTTTTTTTTTTACTATTAGCTAATTCCACATCCATAATTTTTATAATGGATTCAGTGCATGTTCCTTCACAGCTTTCATTCCAATTCCCGATTATAGTTTGTTTTGGGAAGTTTTATCTTCAGTCCTATTTCTTGGGACACTTAATAATCCTTATTAGTGGTGGTCAGAAACACTTGCTTCAAACCAATTCTATTAATATTATTAATAATAAATTATAATAATAATCTAAAGATCCAAAAAAGGATCTGTAATATGATCGATTCCCTTTGTCTTTTCTAGAAATATTTTGATGACAACAGCTCTAACAAGCATTTTTCTCTGGTCCCACATATACATAAATTTAAGCGTGCTGCTAGATTGGCAACTAGGTCCCACCATTATACTGTTGAAATTGTTAGATGCAACTGCCATTTCTACCCCAACAGTTTCTTTTCTCGCACTTCCCACCTGTGAAACTCCCTTCCATTTTCTTGCTTCCCTGATAACTACAAACTTCAAAAATTTAAATGCAAAGTCAATCGTCATCCTCTGTCTT